TTCAACCACCCTTGATTCCGCTCATCGATGGTTGCTACCATGGTGACTTGTTTGTGACGTAGGAAAGTGGCCGTTGTGTACTCCCATAGAACGGACCATTCACCGCGTCGCGTCAAGGTAGGTACAGATAATAAGTTTGTTTTTAGGTCTGGTACATACAGAACGTTATCGAACACAACTACTGGCAGACAAGCACCGTTAAGGAGTGGGATGACGAGGGCATCCGGACAGCTATCAAATTTTTCCGAAACGATAAGGGTGGCGAATACTCTTCCAAAGCACTTGAGAATTTCTGCAAAGACCATGGCATTAGTCTCGAACGCACCATCAGGGACACGCCACAGCAGAATGGAGTTGCCGAGAGATTCAATCGCACGCTAGCTGAAGCAGTCACTTCCATGCTCTCGCAATCCAAGCTACCGCCATCCTTCTGGGCCGATGCTGTGGGCGCATATACACATATACACAACCGACTCCCATCCCATTCTAGAGGCAACAAGACACCCTATGAAATGTGGAACGGAAAAATCCCCTCAGTTGCTCACATTAGAGTGTGGGGTTGTCTCGCGCACGTACACTTGCAAAAGGATCAAAGGAAACAGCTGGAGCCGCACTCGCGTCGATGCGTGTTCATTGGCTATCCTATTGACTACAAGGGGTGGAGGTTCCTAGACCTCAAGACACGCCGAGAATTCATCTCGGACTCGGCGGTCTTTGATGAAGACCAGCTTCCAGGTCTCACGCATACCGATATACCATTCCCATCCCCCTCCTCAACCACAAATACATCCAACCCCACCACTCCAGCTGCTGCACTCTACCTCCCTCCACCTCCAATAGCTAGACGTCCACCAGCCCTCCTACCACCTCCCCTTCCCACCATAAATCCCCCGGATGGGGACGCTTTAGAACCACCACCAGAACCTGCATCGACTCCTCGACAAGAGGTGAGCCCAAACGTTGAGTGGGGAATGGACAATAGCGTACCTCCTACTCCCATAAAATCCTCCGCGTCGACTCCTCCACGAGAGGTACAGTCAAATGTCGACGACATCCTTCACTTAAACTCCCCATTAACCCAATTATCCCTATCCCCTCCACCCTCGCCATCTCCGGCAGCCAAAGTGCCAGAAAACCGAAGTGAATCTCCATCTCCTCCACGAGAGGTACGTCGATTGATGGACCACTTCGAACACTTCCCCCACAATCTGCCGGAGAAAAGGACGCGCGAACCAGTAACGGCACGCCAAGCCTACTGGGAGGACAATGAAGTCGGCGATTTTGACTGGTACGGTGGAATCGAAACAGAAACCGCATATGTCAGTCTTGATCACCCAGCTAAGCTTCTCATAAAGGAGCCACTCGCCTCAGTCTTGAAGAAATCCCATTTCCAAATACCTCCTGACGAACCACCCTCCAAACCCCTCCCATTAATTCCCTGGCAACCCCCAAACCATCGCTCCAACTTTGTCTTCATTCCCTTTCACAACGCAATCGACTGCGCACTAAGCGTGTCCACCCAGCTCGAACCCTCATCTCTCAAGGAGGCACTGAGGAGGTCTGACGCTGACAAATGGGTTGAAGCTGCCGCTGATGAGATTGGTGCACACATGAGAAATGGCACGTGGGAATTAGTTCCCCTACCGGCAGGGAGAAAGGCGATCGGGAGTCGTTGGGTGTTCAAAATCAAGAAGAATGCCGACGGCTCTATCGAACGTTATAAGGGCAGAATCGTGGCAAAAGGATACGCACAACGTGAGGGGGTCGACTTCACCGACACCTTTGCACCAACTGCTCGATTCGGCGCACTGCGAACGGTCATTGCCCTGGCGGCTATTGAAGACTTGCACCTTGAGTCCGTCGACATATCCACTGCTTTCCTCAATGGTGAGATCGACACAGAGGTCTATATGGAGCTCCCGGAAGGCCTAGAAGCTGAAGGGGACCCCAAAGTCAAGTACGTCGTCAAACTCCTGAAGAGCCTGTACGGCATCAAACAAGCCCCTCGCATCTGGTCCAAGAAACTGCTTTCTGAACTGAAAGCACTGGGTTTCCAACGCCTGGAATGTGACCACTCCGTCTTCATCTACGAGCGCGACGATGTCCGTGTCATAGTCCCAGTGTACGTTGACGACCTGGTAATCGCATCGAAATCCCAAGACGCAATTGACGCGTTCAAGAGTCAGCTCAGGAGCCGCTTCAAAATGAGGGAACAAGGACCTACCACTTTCATTCTAGGCATCAAACTCGAACGCGATCGCCCCAATCGTACCATCAAACTTTCTCAGTCAACGTATATCGAAAACATGATCGAGAAGTACATACCACATGAGATACTGAATGGGGTAGACGTGCCGATGAAAGATAACGAGCCACTCTCAACGAAGATGTGTCCTCAAACACCCGACGAAATCGAATTCATGAGCAAAATACCGTACAGAGAAGCAGTAGGAAAGCTACTCTACCTTTCGATTGCAACTCGACCAGACATATCGTATGCCGTCGGGGTACTGTGCCGCTACAATGCAAACCCAGGGCAGAAGCACTGGGCAGCAGTGAAGCACCTCCTTCGCTATCTCAGCCGTACCAAGGATCTCAAATTGTGCTACTCACCAGACAGCTCCATGGAGCCTTTCACAACTTACTCGGATGCCGACCTAGGCGGCAACATCGACAACTCGAGATCAACCGCGGGATTCCTCATCAAAGTCGGCACTGGCGTCGTCCACTGGGGAAGTAAACTTCATCGACAAACATCTCTATCCACGACAGAGTCCGAGTACACAACGGCGTCGGCCAGTGGCTGCGAACTAATGTGGATGCGCTATTTCCTCGAAGAGATCGGGTACGACATGTCGAAACCTTCTTTGTTGAAGATGGACAGCGCCTCCGCCATCCAAGTAGCCAAGAATCCCGAGCACATCAGCACGATGAAACACGTACACCGATGTTATAATTGGATTCGCGAAAAGGTCGAAGAGACAAAAGAAATCCGCATCGCTCATGTACCCGGAGCCGACAACCCCG